GAAAAGGCTGGCATCTTTCCATTTTGTACCTATTGTTCTTTACTCTGATATGTTCTCTCCTGTGGCTACCTTGGAATCTAGGAAGAACTAATTGGTAATATCTTCACAGCAAGAAAAGGAGGACACTGCCCCCAAGAAAAGGAATAGCAGAGCCTCCCATAAGACAGACCCCTGGCCAGGCCACTCAGCAATGACGTACTGTAACAAGGCTCCACCTGATCAGTCCTGAAACAATGAGCTGCCAGATCACTTGTTGCCACCTCTGACCACTGGAACACACCTGTGACTGAGACTATTTAATAATTATGCATACCTCTTCCCCTGCCCCCAATTCTCCCTCCTATTTAAACATAAAGCAAGTATCTCTTCTGAGAAGATGAGTTGAAATGCTTACTGCCTTTCTTCTTACTGCTGCCTGTGTTGTGTGATAAAATTCTTTTCTCTGCCCTTCACCATTAGTCGTCTTTTATATTTGGTGTGTTAGTACAAGAGGCCAGACCTGACCAATGAAACCTAGGATTTGGAGTCTAGAGCCTAAAACATCCTGTAACAATGTCAATAAAATCTTCCCAAACTAGGGACTGGCTGAATGGATAAAGTGGTAGAGTGCCTGCCTAGCAAGTGTGAGATTCTGAGTTCACATTCCAGTACTGGAAAAAAACACCTCAAATAAACACAAACCTTTTTAAAACTTCCCGAACTAAATGCAAAGAGAAAAGAGAATGAGAAAAATAGAACAATATCCAAGAAATGTAGGTGTCAATCATGTAATGGGAATACCAGAAGGAGAAGAAGGAAAGGAAGAGAAGAAATATTTGAAATAATAATGGCTAAGAATTTCCCAAAATTAATAATACTCATCAAACCACAGCTCCAGGAAGTTTAGAAAACAAGTAGGAGCTGGAGATGTAGCTCAGTGGTAGAGTGCATGCATAGATAGCATGCATGAAGCCCTGGGTTCAGTCTAGAGCACCAAAAAACCAAGCAACCAACCCCCCGCCCCCGAAAATATCAAGTAGAATAAATATAAAACACTCAATACCTAGGTATATATTCAAATTGTAGAAAACCAACAACAGAGAGGAAATCTTGAAGCAAGAAGAGAAAAACACCTTATCTATAGAGAAACATGAGAAAGAATTACACTGATGAGCTCAACCCCAGTACTGCCAAAAAAAAAACATACTACTACATGGGATTTCTTATCACAAATCATACAAATAGCACACAGCTGAAAACTAAGGTGTTGAAAGAAAAAAATATCCACCAATATATGATTTTTAACCAGCAAAATTGTCCTTCAAAAGTAAAGTAGAAGTAAAGACTGTTTGAAAAACTAATATAATTTTTTTTTTTGCCAGGAGGCCTATCTTGCAAGAAATTTCAAAGAAATTCTTCAGAGAGAAGGAAAATGGCATAAGTTAAAAATTCAGATCTATAGCCAGGAATGGGTGAGTCACACATGTTATCCTACCTACTTGGGAGACTGAGACTGGGAGGATTGTAGTTCTAGACCAACAGAGGCAAATAGTTAATGAGATCCCCATCTCTAAAATAACTAGAACAAAATGGACTGGAGGTGAGGTTTAAGCAGTAGAGCGCCTGCTTCACAAGTACAAAGCCTTGAGTTCAAACCCCTATTCCTCCAAAAGAAACAAAACAAATAAAAAAACTTCTCAGATTTACATGAAGGAAGATCAGTAGAAAAAATGAGTATTAAAAAGTATTCCCTTTTTTCAATTTTTTTGGTGGCACTGGGATTTGAATAAATATAATATTTCAGCTGTGTGCTGTTTGTATGATTTGTGATGAGGAAATCCAATGTAGTAGTATTTTTTTTTTTTTTTTTGGCAGTACTGGGGTTGAACTCATCAATGTAATTCTTACTCATGTTTCTCTATAGATAAGGTGTTTTTCTCTTCTGGCTTCAAGACTTCTTCTCTGTTGCTGGTTTTCTACAATTTGAATATATACCTAGGTAGTGAGTGTTTTATATTTATTCTACTTTATTCAGGGCTTCATGGTTGCTAGGCAGGTGCTCTACCACTTGAACCACTCCCCGGCATAATTTTTTGTGTGTATTGGTTATTTTCAAGATAGGGTCTCCTGAACTATTTGTCCAGGATCCTCCTGATCTCTCCCTCTTGAGAAGTAGGATTACAAGAGTGAGCCACAGGTACTTGGTTCTTTTTTCAAAATTTCAAGTGAAGGGCTGGAGGTGAGACTCAAGTGGCAGAGCCCCTGCCTTGCAAAAAAAAAAATCAAAATTTTGATTGAACATTGGCTCTGTGTTCAAAGTATGTGTTAGATCACGTGTTAGATCAAGTAGCAAATCAAATCCAACAATTCTTTAAAAAAAAATTACACCCTGCAACCAGGTGGGATTTATTTATTCCAGGTATGCAAGCCTGATTCAACCAACATCCAAAAATCTGTTAATAAACAGGCTAAAGAAGAAAACCATATGCTTTTATCAGGTGGGTTCAGAAAAGTATCTGATGAAGTCCAGCACTCATTCCTGATATCCATCCAAAACAGGGCTGTAGAGTGGCTCAAAGTGTAGGCCCTAAGTTCAAGCCCCAGTACCACAAAAAAAAAAAAAAAAGTTAGGAGATGAAACCTGAATAAGTTTAAAAAGCATGCTTTTAACATATATTCCTTTCAAAATGTTTATAAAATCCATCTCTCCACTCTAATGGCACAGATTTTTTTTCTCATATAGCCTACTATGTGGCCATCTGTAACTGAGATGGACTCCTCTGCTTCAACAAGAAAACACAGGGGAAGAAAATCAATGGCATCTCCATAGGAGTCTTCACACTATTCGATGGGAAATACACATTTACAAAAGACAGACTGGTGGAGTGGCTCAAGTGGTAGAGCACCTGCCTAGCAAGTATGAGGCCCTGCATCTGACTCTGATGCTAAGGTGACAGTATATGTAAGTATGTTTTTCTCTGTCTCTTCCATTTTTCCTTGTACACTATTGGGGTGGCATTTTTGGGTAACTGGGGTTTGAATTCAGGGCTTCATGCTAACAAAGCAGGTGCTCTACCACTTGACCCAAACCTCCAACCCTCTTGCAGTACTGGGGATTGAACCAGGGCCTCCCTGCTTGTGAGGGAAATGCTCTACCACTTGAACCACGCCCCCAACCCTGTAAAGTAGGTTTTGTTTTTAGTGAAGGGCACCTGAGAAAAGGTGGATTTACTTTCTTCTATTCAAGAGTTATCAGCTGATGTGTGCTCTTGAACGCCCTTGCTCTCTTGCACGAGAGCACAGGCCAGGACCGCAGGCCTGCAAGTAAGGCTGGCTGTTTTATGCAGCACTCACAACTCACCCCAGTGTGCTACTGCAATTTTTGCTGCCTACATGTGTCAGCCAGGAGCATGATCTGATCTTGAACATCACTGCAGGTTAACTACCTTGTTAACAAAACAAAATGAAACAAACAAATAAAAAGTCCAACCCTGCCAGCAGAGCCTGTGAACTGAAAGGTGAGTTCTGAGTAGTTATTCAGAATTGTATTTGCACAAGAAAACGGATGGGAGAGGAGATCCAAGATGGCAGAAAGTTTAGGGAATCAGAATTCCTGAGCTCCATGATTTCAAAACCCACTTGAAGATGTGGGAGCTACACTTGGGTAATTCTGATTGTGTCTAGACAACTTAATAACTGCCAATATCCTGGGCAAACATAAATTTCAAGGGTTGATCCTTGAAACAGCTTTTAATTGCACCTAACAGTCAGGGAAATCCCAGCGTGGCATAGCACTAGGGCATACCTGCCCTGGGAAAAAGCCCCCTGGCCATCTCTCCTCCTTTCTTCTTTTTCTCTTTCTTTCTTCTTCTCTTCCTTTCTTTCTTTCCTTCTCTCTCTTCTCTCACTCTTGCTCTCTCTTTTCTTTCCCTGGGAAAAAGCCCCTGGCCATCCATCTCTCCCTTTTCTTTCTTTCTTTCTTTCTTTCTTTCTTTCTTTCTTTCTTTCTTTCTTTCTTTCTTTCTTTCTTTCTTTCTTTCTTCTCTTTTCTTTCTCTCTCTCTCTCTCTCTCTCTCTCTCTCTCTCTCTCTCTCTCTCTCTCTCTTGCTCTCTTGCTCTTTCTTTTCTTTCTTCTTTTTTTTCCAAGAAGCAGAAGATAGAGCATCAAAAAGAACAAAATCCTGTGACATACTGGACCCCTAACCTGTGGAAAGCCTACCTATGCCCTGATGGGCTGAACCTAGTCCCAGTAAGTGTTTGTCTTGAGAAAAACCACCTGCCATTTCCCCCTGCTGGCCAGTTTCAAAGCTGCCTATGTAAATCTGCAGACCCAACAAGTGAGTGACACATACCACATGCAATCTCTTGCTATTTTTACCTGGACACATACCACATGCAATCTCTCACTGTTTTTACCTGTTATTGCTAATTTATTCTTCTAGGCCAGGGACAGAAAGAGGTTGATGACAGAAAGCACATCAACCTAGCTAATGACTAAGCCAGTCACAACACAAAAATTAAATCAAGGGAAAGAAAATAGGCAATTAAAATCACCAACTAGCCAATCAAAATCATAGTTGCACAGCACCAATTAGAAGCATGGGGAGAAGAAGGCAAGGAAACTCCACTCCTCAAAAGAACAATGCAAGAGAGGATTTATAAAGAAAATGTATACCCAATTCCTGACCCCAACAGAACAATAATAAATATCACCAATGAGCTCAATGATGTCCACAAAAAAATCTCTCAAAGAGGAAATCATGGAAGAGATCACTGAGAAACTCATGGAGAAGCTACAAGACATGATTAAATAGAAGGGGCAGGATGAACTCAAGAAATATCAAGACACCACAAATAAAAAACTTGAGAAGACACAGAAACAACTAAGTGAATTCAGAGAGGACTTCAACAAACACCAAAGTGAAACAAAGGAGACTATGAAAAAAAAGAGAGATATATGAAATTAAGGAGACAACACAAAATATGAAAGAGGAGATTATTTCAAGGGACAGTGATGCAAGATGGCATCCACCACAGGTATAGGAATAAAAGTCCCTTGCAATTTCCAACTGTTGGAAGAACTTGAAAGCCAGAAAGGAGTAGGAGATGGCACAGTTAGCTGGGATCTAGAAGATGATGGAGACATGGCACTTACAAGATGGACAGGGATGATAATTGGGGCTCCAAGAACAATTTATGAAAACTGAATATGCAACCTTAAAATAGAATGTGGACCTAAATATCCAATCTTACACCCCCCTTGGTAAGATTTGTAATGAAAACTGATATGAATGGAGTTAATAATTCTAGCGGAGTGGTGGACCCAAGAGCTATATCAGTGCTAGCCAAGTGGCAGAATTCATATAGCATCAAAGTTTTCCTGCGGGAGCTTTGGTGCTTGGTGATGTCTAAAGAGAACGTGAAACTCTCTCAGCCACCCAAAGGACAGTGTTAACAGCAATTACTCAGAGCCCAAGCCTCTGTTCCATTTACCAGTCTTCAATTTCCACAGTAGTCCATTTTCTAGGTATGTCTGTAGACTCAAGACATACATAAGAGAAGCTCCCAGTCAATGGCAATTTATCTTAAGATACTGTAAATTTATCTTAAATACTAATTTTTGTTCATTTGAAATATGTAAGTTGTGCTATGTAAAAAAAAAAGGAAAGAGAGAAAGTGGAGTTGAATGAAGATATGGGAAACCTCAGAAAAAAGAATCAAACAGAAATCCTGGAAATAAAAAGTCCCTTTAATGAAATAAAAAATACAGTGAAAGGCCACTTCTGGAGACTACAACAAGTGGAAGACAGAATCTCAGGGCTCAAAGATAAAATAGAATTAAAGAAAAAACAGAAGAACACTTAGTCAAACAACTCCAGAGCTGTGAAAGGAATATGCAAGAACTCAGCAACTCCATCAAAAGACCAAACCTGAGAATCATGGGATTGGTGCAAGCCAAAGGGATATGTAGTATATTCAGGTTGCCATTCAGGTACAGGAAGCCTCCAGGACACCAAACAGACTTGACCAAAATAGAATCTCTCTGTCTCTGAAGCATATTATTATTAAAACAACTAACGCAGCTGGGTGCAGGTGGTTCACACCTGTAATCCTAGCTACTCAGGAGGCAGACATCAGGAGGATTGTGGTTTGAAGCCAGCCTGGGCAAATAGTTCACGAGAACCTATCTCAAAAAACCCTTCACAAAAAAGGGCTGGTAGAGTAGCTCAAGGAGAAGGCCCTGAGTTCAAGCCCCAGTACCACAAAAAAAAAAATGCAGCACAGAGAAGACAGAAAGAATATTGTCAGCTGTAAGAGAGAAAAAACAAATAACATATAAAGGTAAACCCATCAAATAACAGCAGATTTCTCAATAGAAACCCTAAAAGCAAGAAAGGGATGGAATGAGGTACTTTGAACACTGAAAGAAAACAATTTCAGCCCTAGGATACTCTATCCAGCAAAACTATCATTCAAAATTGATGGAGGAATAAAAATCTTCCATGATAAACAGAAACTAAAACAATGTATGATAACCAAGTCACCACTACAGAAGATTCTGCAAGGAATTCTGCATACAGAAATGAAAGCAAACAAAACCACAAGAGGACTGGAAGTGTTAAACTGCAGGAGAAGAAAAGACAAGTAATCAAAGAGTAGCATTGAATTGGCTGCACACAGTCAAACCCTTAAACAACAATGACAGGGATCACCACATACCTGTGAATACTAACACTGAGTGTTAATGGACTTAACTCCCCCATCAGAAGACAGTGTTTGGCAAACTGGATTAAAAAGGAAGATTCTGCAATCTACTGTTTACAAGAGACCCACCTTATTAACAGATATAAATGCCAGCTTAGGGTGAAAGGCTAGAAGAAGATTTATTAAGCTAATGGCCCCCGAATATAGGCAGGAGTAGCAATACTTATAACAGAGAAAGTAGACTTCAAACTTACATAAGTCAAACGAGACAAAGAAGGTCACTTCATACTAATCAAAGGAGCAATAAATCAAGAGGAAATAACAATCATCAACTCATATGCACCCAATGTCAGTGCACCCAACGTCATTGAACATACACTCAAGGACGTAAAACCACATATAGACTCCAACACAGTGGTAGTGGGAGACTTTAATATCCCTCTATCACAAATAGATAGGTCATCCAGACAAAAAAAAATGACAAAGAAATTCTAGAACTAAATGACACCATAGATCAAATGGACCTAACAGATGTCTACAGAATATTTCACCCTGCAACAGCACAATATACATTCTTCTCACCCATGGAACTTTCTCCAAAATATACCATAGCTTAGGGCACAAAGCAAGTCTCAACAAATATAAGAAAATTGAAATAACCCCCTGTATATTATCTGATAACAGTGCACTAAAACTAGAACTCAACAACAAAAGCAGCAGCAAAAATTATGCAAACAATTGGAGGTTGCTCAATAATTAGTGGGTCATAGAAGAAATAAGTAGCAGTATACAAAATCAACTTACAAAAATCAGTAGCCTCTCTATACACCAACAATGAGCAGATTGAGAAAGAATATAAGAAAATAATTCCATTTACAATAGCCTCAAAAAAATCAAATAGTTAGGAATAAACTTAACAAAGGATGTAAATGACCTCTACAAGGAGAACTACAAACTATTGAAGAAATAAATGGAAGAAGACTATAGAAGATGGAGAGATCTCCAGTGCTCATGGATTAGTAAAATAAACATAGTAAAAATGGCTATACTACCAAAAGCAATCTATATGTGCAACACAATTCCCATCAAAATCAATGATATTCATCACAGAGATTGAAAAATCTATCCTAAAGTTCATTTGAAAACACAAAAGACCATGAATAGCTAAGGCAATATTGAGCAAAAAAGCAATGCTGGAGGTATCACAATACCCTACTTTACACTACAAAGCCATAGCAATAAAAACAGCATGGTACTGGCACAAAAACAGATATGAAAACCAGTGAACAGAAGAGGACCCGAAAATGAATCCATGCAGCTAAGCTCACCAAATTTTTTACTAAGTTGCCAAAAAACATTCGATGGAGAAAAGACAGCCTCTTCAACAAATGTTGCTGGGAAAATTGATTATCTGCCTGCAGAAAACTGAAACTAGATCCATGTTTATCACCCTGTACAAGTGTCAACTCAAAATGGATCAAGGACCTTAATATCAGACCTGAAACCTTGAAGTTAGTAAAGGAAAGAACAAGGAATACTCTGGAAGCAGTAAGCATAGGAAGGACTTCCTCAGTAGAACTCAAGCGGCTCAACCTAAGAGAAAGGATGGACAAATGGGACTACATGAAATGAAAAAGCTTCTGTGCAGAAATTAATGTGAGTCAACTCCCTGTATAGCTATCCTTATCTCAACTAGCAAAAACCCTTGTTCCTTCCTATTATGGCTTATACTCTCTCTTCAACAAAAATAGAGATAAGGGCAAAATAGTTTCTGCTGGGTATTGAGGGGGTGGGGGGAGAAGAAGGGGGCAGACTGGGTGGTAAGGGAGGGGGTGGGGGCAGTGGGGAGAAATGACCCAAGCCTTGTATGCACATATGAACAATAAAAAAAAAAAGCTCCTGTGCAACAAAAGAAATGGTCTCTAAACTGAAGAGCCCACCCACAGAGTGGGAGAAAATATTTGCCAGCTATACATCAAAGGATTGATAACCAGGATATACAGGGAGCTCAAAAAACTGAACTCCCTCAAAATTAATGACCAAAAAAAGAAGTAGGCAACTGAACTAAACAGAACTTTTTCAATGGCAAAAGTCCAAATGGCTAAAAAACACATGAAAAAAACATTCACCATCCCTGGCCATAAAGGAAATGCAAATCAAAACCACACTAAGATTCCACCTCACTCCTCTTAGAATAACTACCATCAAGAACACAAAGACAAATGTTGGTGGGGATGTTGGGAAAAGGAACCCTCATGCACTGCTGGTGGGAAGGTAAGCTAGTACAACCACTGTGGAAAACAATATGGAGGCTCCTTAAAAAACTAAACATAGATCTGCCATATGATCCATCAATACCACTCCTAGGGATATGCCTGAAGGAATGTGAGTCAGGTTACTACAAAGTTAGCCAGGCTCAGAAGGCCAAAAGTAGCATGTTCTCCCTCATATGCAGATTATAGACCTAAAACAAATGCAGTAATATTATGGGACATGGGTCATCCTAAGGGGAGGCCATATATGGGAGGGACAGGGCAAGGGAAGGAAACTAAAAACTTGAATGTGGTTGATGTGCTCACTGTAGAGGAGCAAATAAAGTAATCTTAAACTGGCAGAGGCCACTATGGGAAGGGGACTAGGAAGTAGTGAAGAGATCTGATAGAGATGAATTGTTGTGGGTTGCAATACACAAGTGCATGGAAGCAATGCTAGCAATCTCTCTGTATAGCTATCTATCTCAAACTAGCAAAACGCCATGCTTTCTTACTATCTTTTATGTATTTTCTTCTACAAAATAGGAGAACAGGAGGGCAGAACATGTTCTGCCTGGAGGTGGGGGGAGGGTGTTGAGGGGAAAAGGGTTAGGAGGATGAATATGGTGTGAACAATGTGTACACATGTATGTAAATGCAAAAATGACACCTGTTGAAATTGATCCAGGAATCAGGGGAGGCGGGGTTGGGGAAAGAAGTGGAGGGGGTGAATTCAAGTATGATATATCTGATATATTATAAGAGTCTTTGTAAATACTCAAACATACCCCCACTCAGCACAATAATAATAATAATTAAAAGGAAATCTAACAATAACATTAAAAAAAAAGAAACAGATGGGTACCATTGATACAATCAAGGAAAATCTTGCCCATTTTGATAGCTAAAGTTCTAAAAACAAAACAACAGAATCTTGTTAGTAAAATCTGTTTTATTTTAAAACTTATTTATTTATTTATATTTCAAATATATTTTAAAAAAATTACATTTTTACTTCTGGGGCTAACAGCAACTTTGGGCCCCTCAGCAGGCAAGATGCTGTTCTGCCACCTGTGTTCCCATGTTTTAGGAAGAACAGGTTTGGAATCCTCCTCAGCACATAGGAGGCAGTTGAAGCCATGGGAGTAGGTAACCTTATTGAAGAAGTGGAGGTGTGGAAGGAGAGGACGCAGGGTAGAGGCCAGCAGGAAAGAAAGGGGCAGAGGGCTCCAGTTTGTGCCTACCAAGTTCCAGGTGTTTCCACTTCTAATTTATTTACTATTTATTTATTTATTTTTGCAGTACTGGGGATTGAACCCTGGGCCTGGTACTTGCTAGACAAGTGCTCTATCTCTCAAGCTATGCTCCCAGTCCTTTGATGTCCTATCTCTCTGAAATTTTACAATCAATACATAAGGTACATAGTTTTGCCTCTCCCGCCCCTTGCCCCAGCAAATGAAATTGAATCAGTTGTGTAGGAGGACTAGGGGAAATCAGAAAGTGAGATTTTCATAAGGCAGATGAATCAAATAGGGTAAAAAATGTTTAAAAATTGTGTCACACATTTAAGCCATCATTATTCAACCAAAGTCAAGTCATATTGAATTTGATAATATCATTTTTATTACTTGCTCTGCTACCTCATATTTAAAAAGAAAAGAAGCCGGGAGTGGTGGTGCACATCTGTATTTTCAACACTCAGGAAACAGTGGCAGGAGGATTGCAAGTTTCAGGCCAGCCTGGGCTACATAGAAAGACCCTGTCTTTAAAAAAAATTTTAAAAAAGGAAAGAAAAATCAATACAAATTTAGGTGGGAAGCAAGGAATAGGGTGTTCTTTGCATAAAGCCTTGCCTTGTCAGCATTAATCACAGATAACATGAAAAGGAGCCAAAGTGTTAACCCAAATACCGTAACTCTCTGAGAATCTGTAGATTCTCCCCATCCCTAAAGTTCTTGGGTGAAAGAACTGAGTTGCTGTGGACCAAAGTCTGATAAGAAATCAAACTTTGGCTGGTGGAGTGGCTCAATGGTAAAGAGCCCGCCTAGCAAGCATGAGGCCCTGAGTTCAAGTCCCACTGCTGCAAAAAAAGAAACTATAAGAACAAAATAATGAGACTGACCCTTGAAATTAACCAATGACAAAAGCATTTTATAATCTACATGTTTAATGCAATTCCCATCAAAATACCAATGACATTCATTAAAGAGATTGAAAAATCTGTTAAATTTATATGGAAACACAAGAGGCTACGAATAGCCAAGGCAATACTCAGTCAAAAGAACAATACTGGAGGTATCACAATACCTGACTTCAAACTATATTACAAAGCTATAACGATAAAACAGCATGGTACTGGCACAAAAACAGACATGAAAACCAGTGGAACAGAATAGAGGACCCAGATATGAAGCCACACAACTATAACCAACCTCTCTTTGACAAAGGAGCTAAAAATATATGATGGAGAAATAGCAGCCTCTTCAACAAAACCTGCTGGGAAAACTGGTTAGCAGTCTGCAAAAAACTGAAACTAGATCCATGTATATCACCCTATACCAATATTAACTCAAAATGGATCAAGGATCTTAATATCAGACTACAAATTCTAAAGTTGGTACAGGAAAGAGTAGGAAATACTCTGGAGTTAATAGGTATAGGCAAGAACTTTCTCAATGGAACCCCAGCAGCACAGCAACTAAGAGATAGCATAGATAAATGGGACTTCATAAAACTAAAAAGCTTCTGCTCAACAAAAGAAATGGTCTCTAAACTGAAGAGACCACCCACAGAGTGGGAGAAAATATTTGCCAGCTATGCATCAGACAAAGGACTGATAACCAGAATATATAGGGAACTTAAAAAACGGAATTCTCCCAAAACAAATGAACCAATAAAGAAATGGGCAAGTGAACTAAACAGAACTTTCTCAAAGGAAGAAATTCAAATGGCCAAAAAACATATGAAAAAATGCTCACCATCTCTAGCAATAAAGGAAATGCAAATTAAAACCACACTAAGATTCTACCTCACCCCTGTTAGAATAGCCATCATTAGCAACACCACTAACAACAGGTACTGGCCAGGATGTGGGGAAAAAGGAACCCTTGTACACTGCTGGTGGGAATGTAAACTAGTACAACCACTCTGGAAAAAAATTTGGAGGCTTCTTAAAAATCTAAACATTGATCTACCATATGATCCAGCAATAACACTCCTGGGGATATACCCAAATAATATGACACATGTTACTCCAGAGGCACCTGCACACCCATGTTTATTGCGGCACTATTCACAATAGCCAAGTTATGGAAACAGCCAAGATGCCCCACCACTGACGAATGGATCAAGAAAATGTGGTATCTATACACAATGGAAGGCAGCCATGAAGAAGAACGAAATGTTATCATTTGCAGGTAAATGGATGGAATTGGAGAACATCATTCTGAGTGAGGTTAGCCTGGCCCAAAAGACCAAAAATCGTATGTTCTCCCTCATATGTGGACATTAGATCAAGGGCAAACACAACAAGGTGATTGGACTTTGATCACATGATAAAAGCGAGAGCACACAAGGGAGGTATGAGGACAGGTAAGACACCCAAAAAACTGGATAGCATTTGTTGCCCTCAATGCAGAGAAACTAAAGCATATACTTTAAAGCAACTGAGGCCAATAGGAGAAGGGGACCAGGAAGTAAAGAAAAGGTTAGTTTGAGAAGAATTAACCTAGAAGGTAACACACATGCACAGGAAATCAATGAGAGTCAACTCCCTGTATAGCTCTCCTTATCCCAACTGGCAAAAACCCTTGTTCCTTCCTATTATTGCTTATACTCTCTCCAACAAAATTAGAGAGAAGGGCAAAATAGTTTCTGCCAGGTAGTGAGGGGTAAGGGGGGGTAAGAGAGGGAGGGGGGAAGGGGGGAGAAATGACCCAAACATTGTATGCACATATGAATAAAATAAAAATTTAAAAAAAGCATTTTATTTGTTTTAACAATAATAAATACTTTTTCAAAGATATCTTTTGAATAAATTCTGAGAAGTGCTTTTATCCAGAGTGTAGACAAAAAGTTTGTGGCATACATTACTACGTTGCTCATGAAGGCATTTTAGTGAGCGCAAAGCAGCATAAAGAGTCTTGGAAGGAGCTGGGCGGATGTAGCTCCACAGTAGAGCACCTGCTTCCTATGTGCGAGGTCCTGGGTTCCATTTTCAGCACCACACACACAAAGCGAAACACAACAAAAGATCTTGGTTGGTAAAATTTTATTTTAAATGTAATGTAAAAAATTGTAAGTCAGAAAATATGCTAATATGGTGATAAGAAGCAACTAAGGGGCGAGGAGCAAGGAGCTCAGGAACAACATGCGTTTAAATCCAAATTTAGGTTTTTCTTATTTCATCGTCTCGTAATTAAACATATCCATCACCTTTCAGGGAAGTACTGCGGCTGGAGAGATGTCTGCGGGTTTTAACTTCTTCTGTACGAGCTTTTTACCTAGAAGAGGCGCACAAAGAATAGTTTGGAATTTTCTCAATCCTTTTTTTTTTGCAGCACTGGGGTTTGAAGGTAGGCACTCTTTTTTTTTTTTTTCCCAGTATTGGGGCTTGCAGTCTGGACCTACACCTTAAGCCACTCCGCCAGCCCTTTTTTTGTGAGGAGTTTTTTCGAGATAGGGTCTTGAGAACTATTTGTCTGGGCAGGTTTCCGACTGTGATCTTCCTGATCTCTGCCTCCTGTGTGGCTAGGATTACAGGCTTGAGCCACCCGTGCTCCGCTCACATTTTTAACTTTTGATAATATGATAATATTGGTTGTAATTAAATGCTACATTATTTTTGTTACTCAGACTTTTCCTGTTTTGGTGGGAGGAGCTTTTTTCACTTGGTTCCTATGTCCTGTTGTCTCAATCTATTTTATTTTCCTTTTTAGTGGTGCTGGGGAAATCATGTGCTTATTGTTTGCTCTTTGTCCCTCAGTTCTTCACTGGGAACTAAGCTTATGAAGATGTTTCCCCATTGTTCTTTTTTGTCTCTTCAGTTTCACTGGTGTTGTGTTGATTGGAAGCACCCACTCGGCTCATTTGAGTCACATCTTATGTCAATGAGCTTCTGTTTGACCCCTCTGATCCCCTTCCATTCTAAACCCCCTGCTTCATGACCTGGCAGGGTGACCTGTGGACCACAGCCATACTTTCCTGTCCTCTGGCTTTCTGGAGGGTTGAACCAATGGGAAGCCCAGAGGACAGGAGAAAGTGAAGCAGTGTGCTTTTAACTTGATCCCATCCTGCTGGGTTACCTCAGGTTATTCTATTTCTCTATTGCTAAGATATCGTTCCTCTCAGGGCATTATTCTTCCCACAGCTCTCTCCTGTCCCTCTTCTAGTTGGGGCCCAGGGGTGGTAACAGGTAGGTTGTTGCTGGCCAGGTGGTCACATCATCCTTATCATTTTCCTCCACCCACTCCTCTGCAATCAGTCTTCATTAAATGTTTTCACAATCTCAGTGCCTTCTATTTCTTGTTGTGAACCGATAACACACTTCCTCTTTAGAATTTAAAAACAAAACAGAACACTTCTGTCAAGAAACTTTTACTCCTTCATCTCACAAGTGTGATCTTTTCCTCCTCTGAGCATGGAATCACTCTCTGTCTAAAGGCACTCATCAAACTCTGCATTTTATTTAGGGCCTTGTGTAATCACTTCTTTGTAAGATAATTTTTTGGTGCCCTTTGGGTTCGAACTCAGTGCCTATGGTTGCTAAGCAAGAGCTCTACCTCTTGAGCCATGCCTCTGGCCCATGTACATAACATATATGACAGAGGGGCTAGTTTATTTTTGTCCCCATGACACCCAGAAATATTTTACGTGGTACTAGATACTTGACACATTATTTGCTAAGTAAGTGAACAGTTTTTTCCATATTTCACAAGAGTTATTTTTGTTCACCTACACAGAGTTCCCACTCATTTCAGACAGGAAGTGAGGTATTACAAAGAATGGAAAAATTAATGTTTTCTTCCCATACTCGAGAGATATTCTACAGAGATGACTGATAAATTTGTGCTGATTTCTACTTAACTACATTTGCAGTAGCTACTCCTGGGAAAGATGAGTTTAAAATAACCTGATTGAATTTCAGGTTGTGAAATTTTATATAACATTCCCAAATATTGTAAGTCCTATATTCACCCTTTTCAAAGATCACTTCAAGAAGATGTTCTTTTTGTACTTTTTTAATAAACATAATTTGTTTAGGGGTTTATACATTTATTTCTAAATTGATGTATTTTTAGAAGGTATATATATTCATTTATTAGAAAGGCATATATTTGTGTTTGTGGCTTTTTTTGTTGTTTTTGTCTGTTCTTTTTTAGTGCTAAGGATTGAACTCAGCGCCTTCTGCATGCTAGGCAAGCACTCTGCTTTGTTGTTGAAGTTTTAGCAAGAATTTATTTTAGTGTAAAAGAATAAAGTATAGACAAGGGGGGAGGGGCGTGGAGAAAAAGAGAGAAACATTTCCTGTTCCCCATGCAGGAAATGGGAGCAAAGATTCAAGTAGCAGTTTGTTGTTGTTGTTTTCTTTTGTTTGTCAAGTTGTTTGTCTTAACAGCAACTGTATTTTCTTTTTTTTTTTTAATTTATATTCGTTTATTCATATGTGTGTACATTGTTTGGGTCATTGCTCCCCCCTCCTCCCCACCACCTTCCTCCCCCTCCTCCCCACCACCTCCCTCCCCACCATCCCCTCATTTCCAGGCAGAACCTGTTCTGCCCTTATCTCTAATTTTGTTGAAGAGAAGACATAGTATAATAAGGAGGACAAAGCATTTTTGCTAGTTGTGATAAGGATAGCTATACATAGAGATTCCTAGCATTGCTTCCATGTACCAATGTGAAAAACTGTATTTTCAACATCTTTTGTAATTTAGTATATTCTGTTATTTTATAAGTGGTAAGTGCTTCATTAATAGACAATCAATTCTGAGAAGTTTAGAAAATTCACTATCCCATTGTTCACTAAAAATACGGTTTAAATCATAGAACTATCTTCTTCGTAAGAAGAAATCAAAATCTTGTATTAAGATAGCACTGGGGAGACGTAAGGAATTGTTATTACTACGCTATTATTCGAAACAACGAATAGCTTACAAAGTCCTTGTTTATACTTCTAACAATCTATAGATTGCAGGAGGAAAGCTTGTATTGACTCACCACCCGTCTTTTCAAAAAGCATTCATGGCTTTCCTCTTGTTGATATCTCTCTTGATTTGACAAAGAGAACACACAGGGCAGCAAAAGGTCACCATGGTGTCATTAAAGATAGATCCCTGTTTGAAGATGTGAAAGAAATATAAATGTAAAATACATTTGCATTTTAAGATGAAACTTAAACATGTGGAATATGCTCACAGCACTTGAGAGGGCGAGGGAGGAGGATCGAGAGTTTAACGCCAGCTTGGGCTACATTGCAAGTTCAAAGCCAACATCACTTACATAGTGAGACACTACTGTTGCGGGAAATTATGAGCTGAGATAAGAGTCTTTGAGACAATTAGCAGGAAGCAATGTTTATTGTGCCTGCACAGACCCAGCGGACTCTCGTCCAAAGGCAGAGCCCCAAGAGCAAAGGGGTCTCCCCTTATATACCCTTGCAAGCAGGTTACAGAAGCAAAAAGCAAAGCTCAGCCCACATGTGGCTGCAAGTGACTTCATTGGCTATTTCATCTCCCTAATGCTATGTGACCTTCATGTTTTAATTCCTTAAGTTTTATCTCTCTGCTTTGCCATCCCCTTCCCCTGTCTCATCAGAACACCAGCCTGTCTGGTTCTTTTCTGGCCTTCCTCCCTGCTACAGCTACCTAAATATCAAGGGCTGGGGAAGTTGGTCAGTGGTAGAGTGATTGCCTAGCATGCACAAGGCCCTGGGTTTGATCCCTGACGCTCACACACACACACACACTCACACACACACACACACTCACACACACACATACACACACGTGTGCATGCACACACACCCAGAGAGAGATCCCTAACACACACACGCACCCCCAGGGAGAGATCCCTAACATACACACAAACTCACACACACACATGCACTCACACACACACAGAAAAAGTACACTTATCTGGAAGTAAGACTTGTGAATTTTCAAGTATCTTGAAGAAAACCAGAAGGCATTGTTTTCTGTTTCTTTGGAAGCAGTTTGGATGGATAAATTCAGGAAAATGTTAAATGATTTTTCCATGTAACTCTTGCCTCTTTTCATGATGCAAAATGTTTTCTTGTGCTCTGTAGTTCTGAGAATATATCCAACCAAACTATCAAGTATGAGGTAGAATCAAGACTTTCAGGAAGTGGAATCTCAAAATTGTTTTTTCCCTCACCCACACCTTTCCCTGTCTCAGGAAGCCACTGGTTCAAATCAAGTAGCTCAAAGGGTCAGTGAGCAATTTCACCGAGAAGGAGAAGGTGATAGGGCCTCTGATGTGTGGAATATGCTCGGAGGAGATTTAGAAAACTGGCAAAGAACTTGAGGTTAAAGGACTCATAAGTAAATGGAGGAGAACTACTAATGAAGAAGCCAGTAGTCACTAACACCAAGAACAAAGTTGAATAGGAAAGTAAGTTACTCCACACTGAGGTTGAATAAAGCAAGTGTATTGTAACTAAATATTGAATATGGAATTAACCCAAATTACATAAAACTATATGTGAAGTAGTGAGTTGGAAGATGGTATGTGTGTGTGGGTGAATGGGAAAAAAATAGAACTAAATTTTCATTTTCTATAGTGGGGGATCAATAGATCATGCCCCAACTGAGAAATCAAGAAGCAGCAACACAAAGTCTGTGATTTGAAGATTGGGAGGAAAACACACCCAAAATCTGCTCTGCAAAAGGAGAGGTAGGAGAAAGAAGTCTGGGAACTACTATTTTCCTTACAAACCCTGTAAAATTAGATCATTTTAAAAACCATTTGCTTCAAATTAAAAAAAAAATGAAAACTGTATTAGAGAATAGTGAATGGTGGTATTTAGTGGGCCAGAATTTTCAAGTGGTTTTAGGGTGTACAAAGCAGAGGGGACTCCAGTGATAGGGAATGCAAATCAGAGCCCAGGAACTGGAAACCAAATGCAGTGATGGGACGCTCAGAAAGGAGGACCAGCAGAGGACTGATAGACAGGGAAGTCGCTGCAGGACGCCTGAGCCCCTGAGCAGCTGGTTAGAGCTGCTGCTAGTGACTTTGCCTCAGGACACAACATACAATGAGAGGGCTCCAGGAGAGAAGAGGTGGGAGGTAAGTGGAGCCCTTGTCACTGGTCTCCTGTTTCAGCACAAGCACATGGAGAAAAAGAACAAAAGGTCACTCATCCTTGGGTAGACATGGGTTTCTGTGCAGTATTCATTGAGAGTGTGTGTGTGTGTGTGTGTGTGTGTGTGTGTGTGTATGTGTGTGTGTGTGTTTGTGTGTTTTCTTTTTGCTTAATAGATCTCTGATTCCTTTTCAGATGTTTCCACTTATTTGGATCTGGTTAGTGATTACCCTTAAATTTTTATTCACAATATATATATATATATCTCAAACAAAATATCTTTTTTATTATTTAAAAATGGTGGAATGGCTCAAGTGATAGAGCACCTCCTAGTTGCCTAGTTGCCTAGCACAAGGCCCTGAGTTCAAACTCCAGTACCACCAAAAAAATTGGTTTTAGACAGGGTTCCTTGAAGTGCAAACTGACCTGGAACTTGTGATCTTTCTGCCTGTGCCTCCCGAGGACTGGGACTATAGGTGTAAGCCACCTTCAAGTTATGTCGTTAAAATACTTTCATTTCTTCTTCCTTTCAGTTTCCAAAATTTTGTTAAAGCCAGGTGAAATTTAATTTCAGATGACAGTTAATTTTTCAAACCTCTAAGGAACATTCTAAAAATTACGCAGTAAACCTTTAAAAATCTTGATAAGTTTCATCTTGAGAAACAATATTGGCCACCATGAGTGAGGCGAGTAGCTTTGGTCACCTGTGTCCCTGCCATGATTCTCTGCCTCACTCCAGACCTAAATGCAATGGAGCTCACTGACCGTGAACTGAAACCTCTGAAACCATGAGCCGAAATAAAATCTTCCTTCATTTGAAAAAAAAAAAAGAAAAATTTCCCACAAATCAGTATGGTATGCAACAATAACCAAGCACGTGTAAAGGGAATTGGCAGAGGAAATTTAAAAAAAAAACAAACCCTAACGTTCCACGATTTCACTAATAAAAATTAAACTAAAACAACGATGAAATAACATTTTTCCTTTCTGACAAAATAAAAAATTATATTATCCAATATTGGTACATTTATATAAAATGCTAATGAGTTATAAATTGATGGGTTTTTTTTGTGGTACTGCGGTTTGAACTCAGGGCCACTCCACCAAGCCCTTTTTGGTAATGGGCTTTTTTTTTGGAGATAGGGTCTCTCAAACTATTTGCCTGGGCTGATCTCTGCTTCCTTAGTAGCTAGGATTACAGATGTGAGCACCAATGCCTGGCTTAAACTGATAGTCTTTTGAAGGAATAGTTGGTGGTATCTCTCAAAATGTGTATGTACATCCTGTGATCTAATGTAACACACAGCACACACAGCATGCATGCATAGTTATACATATGCAACCACTTAGATTGCAGCAATATCTAACCTCTCATCAATAGGGAAGTGGTCAAGTAAATTACATGTTGGAACACTATGCAGACATTAAAAAGAATTAGTGGCTTAATCTACAGTATGTCTGCCTAACAAGCATGAAGCCCTGAATTCAAACCTCAGCACCCCCCAAAAAAAATTAGTATTACTGACATGAATTTCCATATATTGGGTGGAAAAAAGTCGTAGTACATTGTAAACCCATTTAAAAATAAAAGCAAGCAGAAGCGCTCCCTAAAACCAAAACCCTGTAGGTCTATATCTGTAGCTATATCTACCTCTAGTGTAATATTTTTGTAATTAAAAAAAATAAACATATCTATTTTGCTTTTATATGTATATCTAAACAGATATATCATCTATCTATCTATATCTACACATATATATCTATTTTGTGGTACTCAGAGCCTACACCTTGAGCCACTCCATCAGTCCTTTTTGTGGTGGGTTTTTTTGAGATAGGGTCTCTTGAACTATTTGCCCAGGCTTTGAACCTTGATCCTCTTGATGTCTGCCTCCTGAGTATCTAGGATTACAGACGTGAGCCACCAGTGCCTGACCCCAAAAAACTGAGATCTATTTTTTAAGTGAAAAAATAATTTCAATGCAATAAAATAAGGTCCTAGAAAAACTTGCATATTCATTTTTTCCTGTGATGGTTAATTTTATGTGTCAACTTGGCTGTGCTGTGGTACCCAGATATCTGGTCTGATGTTACTGTAGATGTTTCTTGAAGGTAGGTTTTAGACAAGATTTAAAACAGTAGACTTTGTGTAAGCAGGTTATGGTTCACAGTGTGGTGTGCCTCATTCATATCTTAATAAAAACAAGACTGATCTCTGAGCAAGGAGTTCTGCCAGTAAACTGTCTGTGAACTTGAGCTGCAGCTCTTCTCTGGGTCTCTAGCCTGCTGGCCTACTTTGCAAATCTGGGACTTGCCAGCCACCATAACTGCAGAGCCCAATTTCTTTTTCTTTTTTTTCCGGTGGGGGTGGGGTTTGAACTCAGGGACTTACACTTGGCTAGGCAGGTACTCTGCCACTTGAGCTGCACCTCCAGTTTATTTCATTCTGATTATTTAGAAGATGGGGTCTTGTGAAGTGTCTGTCATGGCTGGCCTCAAACAGCGATCTCAGCCTTCTCAGTAGGTGGTACCCAGCCCAATTTCTTAAAATAAATTTTTCTCTCTCTCTCTCCACATACACACATCCATTCATACACATATATCGAGACATCTCTTTTTCTTTCTTTATATATATATATACATATACATATACATATTTATATACAGCATACAGATAAACACATGTATACATACATAACACACATATCCACACATTGGTTGTTTCTCTGTAGAATCCTGACTGTTACCCTTCCCTACTAGTGAAGTGAAATAGGTGTAATGGGAGGACAGGCATGGACAGTTGGAATTGGATACTGAACCCACTTTCTGGGGTTGGTGTGAGAATTGTCAGGTAATTATGTAATGAGCTTAGGGCATAGTAGTTTCTTTTTTTTTCTGTCTGGGCAGTATGGGTTTTGAACTTAGGACTTCAAGCTTGCTAGGTGGGCGCTTTATCACTTGAGCCACTTCTCCAGCCCTCACAGTAGGTCCTAAAGAATCCTCTTCCATTGTGTGATACACATTACAAAAGTAAGGGTTACTTGTTCTCTAGTGTTTTCAACAGAAACCTAGAAGTTTTCACATAAGCAGAGGATCTACAGCCACAACTGAACAAAGAGCTGCATGTGCCCAGCAACTCTCAGCAATCAAATGCAGATGATGGAGGCCGTCAAATGGCTTCTGTGTCTACAACAATTTTTTTTAACATTTGCATGATATAAGTGACTTACAGGGATGCCATATCTGGTTCGGTAGAGAGTCCTCATGGCGACAGTTGGTCCACACAGACAGCATTCATTCATGTCAGCAGCAACCTGGCACCCAAGGCACATAAAACAAAACGTGCCGCAGATACCTGGATGCATGAAAGTGAGGGTATAAATTACTCCACTCTACCCACATCATGCTGAATGTTAGCTCACTTGTCTTTGCACATACTCTGTTCATCTTCAGTGATTCTGATGGACTTTGCCTCATTGTCTTCCTCCACTCCCAAATCATTTCAGGACTAATCACATCTTGGAAAGGATGCCATTGTTTTCACAGAAGTGTCTTTCCATTTATTCATTGATTTACCAAAACCTAGCCATGTTTCAGACATTATCCTCCTCACAATGCCCTGACTGAAGTCTAGTAGGAATGTAATAGGAAGAGATCTTCCATGGAAAACAGCTTAGGACTCCAAGGGGTCACTCAAAAAAGTGTTGCCTTCCAGGCCTGAGTAGGAAATGCTGCTTGAATGGAATGGTAAAGGATGATTAGAGAATTTAAAGGTAGAGAAAGGGGTTGACACAACCTTACAAAGACTAGGGTTCAGTCAGTATGGCCAGAGCCCCAGGATGTGATGGGGATGAAGCAGGCATTGGGGGGCAACATAGGTTGGGGACCAGATGATAAAGAACTTGAGTGTTCAAATCTTGTCAGCAAAGTCATGAAAAACCACCAAAGTATTTTAAAAGGAAAGAATGATTTGGTCAGATTTACATGTAAGAACATCTGCTGTGAAGCTCTTAAGCTTGTCTTAGAACTTGGTAGTCATTCATTTAGGTAATATCCTAAGGGTGGGAGGATTAAATGTTTAGAGAATTTTACTTTCATATGATCACTTTGATTTGCCAATGTGGAACTGTATAATGAGATGGGTGTCTTCAGCCCGTTATCTAGTAAGACAACAAGAGTGAATAAACAAACCCAAGTAATTATTAACTTGATCCAGTTCAAAGTTTCATTTCACTGATAAGTTAAAGGCTAATGTATTTTTTTCCTTGTCTAGGAATACTATTTAGACTTGAGACAGGAGAATAAGGCTTCATGTTTTAAAAAATCAAGTTAAACTTGAAATACTTCTCTCAATATATAATAATTTATAATTATTACATCAGAGCTATTGACTTGTAGAATCAATTAGTTCTTTCACTGTTATCTAACTCTAGAACTTATTTCAGGGATGGCTGTTCTTTAATGAGCTATAGAAGAATTAATTACTAATCAGTACAGAGATATTTAATCTTTTATATTGATGTCTAATCAGTATCAGATTTTTTTTTGTTAAACATCCCATTGTCTGCATGCAAGATGCCTGTAATAAATTACAAAGTTACATTGCACAATACTGTAGGAGGATGGGGAGAAGACTTGGACATTCGTAATTCACCTCCTTGTCATTGTCAATCATAGGATACTTTTCTCACACTTACAGACTCCGCAGTCACTGAAGCAATCACAGAGGCCTGTCTGCCAGTTGGAGTTTTGGGGTGCACGAAAATGTTCAGGTTGAGTCACAATGACAGTTGCTGCCTGAGTTTGCATTTTCAACTCAAGGTCCTAAAAGCAATGGTGTGAAAAGGAAAAGTCGGCGTTAGGCACTGAGCTTCGCTGGCTGGGGAGGCAATTCAGATGGAGTTGCTTGTTGATCTTTGCAGAGTGCTATCATTTCTAGCCCCACCCCTCAGATGGCAGAGGTCTCCAGGGGAACCGGTGCTTCTCATGTGGTGAGACGGTGGAACAGGATTGTTGATGTGCTATATTTACACCGGTACCTGTTAGCCACACTAGACAGGGAAGCAAATGATGGAGGTAGTGAATTATGGAAAATAGCCTTCTGGGAAATGGCACTTAGCTTTCATGTACATTCACCTTCCTCCCTCTTTCTCTTTTTGTGTGCTCTCTTTTGTTTTGGGCTTCTTTCCTTTTTTTGGTAGCACGAGAGTTTGAACTCAGGGCCTCACACTTGCTAGGCAGGTGCTCTTACTGCTTGAGCCACTCCACCAGCCCTGGACTTGTTTCTGATTGGCAGTCTTCTCTAGTCTTCCTGCATCCAGGCTGGTCCATCACTTCAAGTTTCCTGGGAGCTTTTGTCCCTTTGTCAGTCAGTGCTGGCTTGATAGACCTTTGCTGTGTAGTAGGGCAAACCCTGATAGCATGTGCCAGCAAAGTTTTTTTTTTTTTTTTAAGGCAGGATCTTACTATGTGGCCCAGGCTTGCCTCAAACTAGTGATCCTCCTGCCTCAGCTCAAGTGTTGGGATTGTAGCATGCACCACCAAGCCTGGCACCCCAAATTTTTTAAAAAGCATATTTTGTTACATTACTTCTTTTCTCTCCATCATGAGAAGCACTGTGAAGACGTGGGACATGAATTAGATTTGAAAGAAGAGTTATGTTTGCTCAAGTACTGGTTTCTGAAACTGTGCAGTCTTAGTAATTTACCTAGACATTTAAATTTCCATTTATTCATCTGTAAAATGGAAATGGTTTCTGACCTACCCACCTTCCATACTCCTTGAAAGCATTAAATGAGATCAAGTCCATGGGTGAATTTAGTGACCAATAAAGAACCAAGCAAATATAAAGGAGAGGAGGTCTGTTGTAGCACTCATTACAGCATGACCTTGTCACTGGTTTGTGGTGATCTCCTGGAGAACAGGAACCCTCTTTTTATATTTTCTTTAGCATCAAGCTCAGTGTTAGATTCATAGTAGATACTCTGTCTCCTTGAATACAGCACTTTCAATATGCTTGCCTCCCTTACACTGTGCTAGGATGTAATACATTTCCATTCAAGCCTTTAACACTTAGTTTTAAAAGCAGAAAAATGTGGAAGTATAGTGTTTCTAGAACTCTAGCAATGTGGCTATACCATTTGCTTTTTTAAACTTTTTCCCACACAGAGAAAACAGTTTCAGAACCAGGCAATTGCCCCCATTTTTTTCCATACTATTTTGTTCTTTTTAATTTCCTGAATTAGCTGTTTTATAGAGTTCCTTGCTTAGTAATATCTGCTAGTAATTGCTTAGTAATATCTGATATTTCTAGATAGTAATATCTAGCTATTTCTCCATACAAGTAGAAGTGAACTGTGCAAGGATGCTTTGAACATAGCTGAATCTGTCCACACTTCATTATAGCTAATTATAAATCAATCAGGTCTGGTTTTACAGCTGCTCCTGAGAATCCATGCAAATAGTTACATGCAAAGCCTGCTCAGTTATTTTGGAACAGGATGAAATTGATTTTTTTCCCTGTAGTACCTGGGGCTTGCACTCAGGGCCTACACCTTGAGCCACTTGTGAAAGATTTTTTTCAAGATAAGGTCTTGAGACCTGTTTGCCCAGGCTGGCTTCAAACCATAATCCTCCTGATCTCTGTCTCCTGAGTAGCTAGTATCTACTGGTACCCAGCAAAACTGGTTTAATTTTTTAGAAAAAGAAAAAGGAGGCTTTAAATGTTCTTTTAAATATTTGTATCTGTTGAACATCATCACTCTCAATAAATAGTTCTAGATATTTCTTTCCCTACTAAGTATAATATGCAAACACCTTGTAGTTAAACAATTTAGTAGAATGATTATCAGTATAACAAGAGTACAAAGTTTGACATTAAGTATGTTTAAAACAACTCTGGTAAATATGAGTCAGTTCCAATTATTTTATTTCAATCATTGGAAATGAAATGATTGGGAATTTTCCAGTTATTGATACTATAGAAAATATCCTATAAATCAAGAGATGTTTCAATAAATGAGAACTTTCTGGCTTTTATATGTGATTTTTGTTTTCTCTTATTTTTATTTATTTATTTTTTTGTGGCAATGGGGGTTTAATTCAGGGCCTCATGTTTGCTAGGCAGGTGTTCTACCACTTGAGCCATTCTACCAGCCTGCTTATTTTTAAAAAATGAGCATAAAAGAAATGTTAGGACTAGCATGTTATGGACAAAAGATTCTACTTTCCTAACAAATAAAAAAATTCTTCCTTCACAAAGAAAGAGACAAGGCTGATAAAAGAAAACATAAATGAAATAACTCATGTGGGCAGGAAGAATTATGGGAATAATAAAAGAGAAACTCATGACATTGTGATATTCAGGGTAGATGGACGACATGGACATGGATGACTAGGGTGTGGTAACGCACCTCTGTACCCACCTTTTTGCACAGCTTTGACTCTTCGAACCACTCTAGTTTCACATATCAAATCAACTTAAAAATAAGAAAATTGGCTGGGCACTGGTGGTAATTCTAGCTACTCAGGAGGCAGAGATCAAGAGAATCGTGGTTTGAAGCCAGCCTGGGCAAATAGTTCAAGAGACCCTATCTCAAAAAAACCTATCACAAGAAAGGGCTGGTGGAGAGGCTCAAGGTGTAGGCCCTGTGTTCAAACACCCGTACTGCACAAAAACAAACAAACAAACAAAAAAACAAAAACAGAAAGTGGCTAGAACTCCAAATACAATATAAACAGTAGCAAACTGAGGCTAACTGTGTTTAGCTAACAGTATTTTGACTATAAAACTAAAGACAAAAAGAACTGACACCAATATTATATTCTTGTTTGTACATTTGTTTTTTACAGGGCTATGCATTAGCATTTCTGAACCAGCTCAAAGATACGTAATATTTATATATAGCTTGAACAAACAAATATATTGTAGATAATGAGATCAAGAGAGGAAGGCTAGGACGAATCCTATTCTGTTAGATTGGAGTCAAGGTATGAACTCACAGCTATTTTCAAACACACATGCACACAGGTTGTAGGGTCTTTAAAGATCACTCCAATGTGGCTGTGGAAATTACACTTGAGAGGAATGGGAAATGAAAGGATTTATCATACTCACAGGTCAAGAGAGGAAGACATAGCTTGCCCAGAGCTCCCTATGAGGTCACCCAAAACCCTGAAGTCTGGTCAAAGCAGGCAGGGAAAGAGCAAATGTCAGGACCTATAGGCAAGTGCCTTTATTGGAGGGACAGAGGTAGGGAAGTATGTGACATGCAGGGAGCACTCTTGTTGAGTAATTTGGATGTGACTAGGTCAACATGGGAAGGGTAAAATGGTGACATCTTCGTGAAGTTTATGAACACACATGTTGTGGACTCAAAGATGGGCAAAAACTAGGTAAAAATTCATGCAAGGCTGCAGTTACTTGGGAGGCTGACCTGGGCAGTGTGGGAGATCTTTTGTGTGTGTGTGTTTGGGGGGGGGTTACCCAAACCCAGGGCTATAAAACATAGTGAGATCTTTATCTTCAAAGTAATTAAAAATAACAGGTCAGGTGCCAGAATATGCACACACACAGATACACATACCCACATATGTATCTATGAGTATATAAATAAATACATTTCCTAGCTGTGTTCACTGCGAGGGCCTAGAAGCAATTAAAACCTTTTATCAGTAAGCATACCTTGTGACCAAATCTTGTTTAGCAAATACTATTTTTCAATAGAGAAGAGCCAGGGATTCATTGGAAAAATGATCGGTTGCAAGACTGGGGCAAGGAGAGTTTAAGTTAAGCCTGGGTCATCTCATGGTATTAGAAATAAAAGGGACCAAAAGGACCCAAAACAGATTGCAGCCAGATCCAAAGAACCAAGTAGATGGCTCCACCAATGGCCAAATCTAGGGGATTTAAGCAATAAAATAATGTTATTAATAAATTATAGCTCACAGAATAAACTATCATTTCTTACTGATCTAAATGAATAACTTTTGAAATGGGGGAGAAGGAGCAGTGCTTTCTTATTGTAGAATTCCAGTTTAGTGAGTGTAGAAGGAATAATAAGACCACCACAGTAATGTTACTGGCAAGACTGGTGGATGGAAACTAATACTATGATGTGTAGTTTTTGCTTCTCCTTTGTTTCTTGGCTTATAACTCAGAAGTCTTCTGGGTTGATTGTTGCCATGTGAGAGTAGAGGGAAAAGGTTTGTCTTACAGACACACAGATGCTAAAATTAGGAGGTTTTGAAAGTGTGATTAAAAACAAGATATTCATAGGTCTTAAAGTACCTCCTTACAAGATACTTACTACTTAGGAAGAGAAAAGAAAACAACAATTTACAGTGGAGAAACCTGGCAAACACTTTAAGGCAAATTAAATCAGGGAAATTAAAATTAAATTAAATTAAAATCAAATTAAATCAGGGAAATTGAGGTATGGGAAACAGAAGCCCAGAATTTATAAGTAAGTATTGCACTAATGAATAGCTAGATTAAAAACGTATAGACACTACTTTCTTTCTCTGCTTTAAGCTTTACCCTCCCTCAACAAACTGCAATATTTACTAAAGAGGAAAAAAAAAAAGGGAAGAAGGGCAGCTCTCTCCCTCTGACCTTGCTTGCCCACCTCAAAATAATTAGTGTGCTCTGAGAACTGAGAAAGGTTATCTTAAAGAAAGACACTTATCCTGGGATAAAACTCTTGGGAAAATGGCTCCTCTGTACACAAAAAGTACCTACAAAGAAAAATATTTATCACAAAGGTGGTCACCTGTCCTGAAGGGAGCATCTGGAGGACCAATTCTTTGTTTAAAGTGATGTTCAAACATCAAAATCACAGTGACTCAAATTTAATGAGCGGACCAACCTTGAAATCACTGGGCCCAACTAATAAGATAGTGTAACAGCAAAAGCAACTAATTATACCAGGTGTCAGAACAAAGGGGAGCACTTTTCCCAAGGTAAATTCAAAACAACCCCAGGCCACTTTTCACCATAAATACTCTGGATGTTAGAGTACTGTTATCAGATATGCCTGCAGCCATGTCTTGGCTGTGAACTATCTGTTGTTCCTTTGCTTTGCTTTACTAATAAACTTTCTTGATCTCTACCTCATGTGTCCTAAAATTCTCTTTCACAGCAACATTGCAAACTTGGTACCCTTTTAGAGACCTTTCTAGAGCATTGCTGGTTCTGGTAACACAAAGTATTACCAGTGACAGGACATGTCGACATCACATGCCTAGTGTGACATGAGGATACACGACACTTCTCTGTTATTCCTGGTAAAAATCCATAAGCAGACTCTAAACACAAGAAAGTATCAGACAAACATCAACTGGAGGACCTTCTACCATATAACTGGCTAGTACTCTTCAAAAGTGTCAAGGTCATGAATGCCAACTCAAAAACTGAGGAAATGTTCCAGGAAGGCTGCAGGAGACCCATGAGACATGGTAACCAAATGCAGTGTGGGATCTTGAATGGAATCCTGGAACAGAAAAGGGACTATCACTGCTTTCTAGCCAGAGGTTGTCAAGAGGTTGACCTGTAGTGGAACAAGTAGGGACAGGGAGAAGGCACTCTGGAGGGATAGGGGGGATGTCTCAGTGAGAGGGTGTTACAAAAAGACTTCTTAGAGGACTGACTTCAGTTGAATGATATGGAGGAGGAGTCAACGTGGAGGTGCTGGCAGAAAGTGGAGGCAATTTCATGATTGGGTATATTATTATTCAAAATAGAAAATTAGTAAATTGTCTCTGAGGAGGGCTGACTAGACGAGACTAAGTCTGCAACAGATTAAGTGGCAGTGTTTACTGAGGGAAAACCCAAATAAACTGTCTAGTTCCACTTGCTTTTCAGTGATTTTAATAATCACTAACTTTGGAGGTGATTATTGTAATCAAATAAACAATATATGATTAGTCCCTTGACAGCTTCGTTCTTTACAACAGCCCTGACTGAAGGCACCTAGCAGCTTAAAACTGTTCTTTGAAATGTATTTCACTGCCTTGTCCTCAGGCCCTTGATTTTGGTTATCTTCCTCCGTTCTCTGATAAAAGATGCCATTTGTATCCAATGATTAATTGCAGAGCTAATTATTCCTGGAAAAGGAACTAAAATTACATGAGTCATAAGACTTTCTAATCAGTAACTTTTCTTTAGATCTACAGAACTCAGAAAGTCCAGTGATAACGAAGCCTGTGCATCAGAAAGCAGTGACCATCTGAAATTTATAACTACCCTGGCCCCTTCCTAGCTGATATTCCTCTCCTCAACTCTCTAGTGCATCTACAACTCTGAAGCAAAATGGATTTTTTTTTGTCTGGACATAAGTCCCTGTATTCCAGCTTTCTGGCTTGTTGTCAGTAAAGTTCTTTTTTCCTCATCACCCTGTCTCTCAAACATTTGGCTTTATGTGTGTGTGTGTGTGTGTGTGTGTGTGTGTGTGTGTGTGGTGTCTGGTTGAGGGGGGGCTGGAGGGAGGGGACTAGACACACCTGTATGGTTACAGCATTCCTATTAGTCAGAAAAGGGAAATGTTTGGTATTTTTATTTTGTGGCTTGGACAGTGTTTAAGGTTCACCTATGTTCAAAATCCTTTATCCTATGTTGATGCCCTGTGAACCTGTTTATGTGCAGTCAAGACCTAGAAGCAGTTTCAAAGCCTAGTTGCCCCTGACCTGCTCCTCTATGTCAGGGGCTGCTTTTTTCTTTCTCAGGATATTAATGGGACAATGGTTCACATTTGAATAAGATCTGTAGGTTAACGAATAGCACTGCATTAACACTGATTTCCAGGTTTCATCAGGTGATGGACTCGTGTCTGGTTGCACTCTGGCTGGGGACCGGTTCCAGGGAGGAGGTTTAAGGAGGCATTGAACTCACCTGTCACGTGGGAGTACAGGAGGGGAGGGCGGGGGCCGTGGGCTCCTTACCTGCCGGCTGCTCAGGACCCAGGATGTGACCTCAGGAGGCTTCTACCAGGTGCCCAACGATCTGCCTCCACCAGCTTTGGTGCGCCCGCGTGTCACCTCCGCTGGGACCCTACCCTGTTTGTCTCAGAGTCTACCCCAGGGAGACCAGGTTCAACCAGCTGAGGTGGCTGCACCTGGCCGGCTGTGGGAGGGAGGAACGGAGCCATCCTGTCGCGGGAAGGGCCTGCGGGGCCCGGATCCCGGAGCTGCAGGGTCGCGGCCGCCGTGTCCCCGGCACCTGCGGCTCGGCTCCACCTTGCAAACTTTAAAACGTTCTCATCAGAGGCTCTGATAGGAAAGTGAGAGGAAGAAGCGATCATCCCTGGTTTGAGTGCTGTCTCTGGGTCACGTGCTGCTTCGCGTCTTAATAGGACGCCTCCCGAGCTCTCTTGGTCAATCTCCCTGTCAGTCTCAGGGACTTAAAGAAACTGCAAGAGTTCAGTTTTCCTTGTTCAACCCTTTCACAATAATTAACTCAGCTTGGGGAACTGGAAGTAAAGACATTGCAGTAATTCGGTTTCCCCTGCTCATCCTTTGTACAATAATTAACTTGATTTGTTGAACACTAAGCACCACAGAGCCCGGGATGTTAGGGCTGTGTTCACACACTTTAGCAGCCACCTGGTACCTAATGGGTGCCCACGATGGCCCGCGCCACCTTCACTTCTCGTCCTGGCCAACCGTAAGTGATGCCAACCCAGACGGTGAACTTGAACCCGAGATCACTCAGCAGTGGATGAGGTTGGACTCTACGGGACCCCTCGGACCTCCACCCATATTAGAGCCCAGATCTTCCCTCCATCTCAAATTCCAGCCCCAAAAGTATAGAAATCATATTATGGACGATGACTTTCCACAATGCCTTGGAGGAAAAGGCATTGTAAAAAATAAGAAAAGACGGCTATGCAAATCTCTTGTGCATTGCCTTTGAATAGTCAAATGCCAGAAAAAAAATGAAAGGCTACTAGTATTGGGTAGCTAACTTAGGGTGATTGGCTGGTAGATTTTTTTTATCTATATTTTTCTATATTGTCTGAAAAAATTGGGGGGCTGGGGTATAGCTCCCTGGAAGAGTGCTTGCTTAGCATGTTTGGAGCCCCAGTATGGCAACAAAAAAACCCCCCTCCATTTATAGTTAGCATTTATTTATTTTAGAATCAAAAGAGGAGATAACTTTTTCAGAAACAAAAAGCAATCCATAAAAAGAGATTATGCCAGTGATTCTAAGCTGTACTTTCACCCCGGAACACTAGCCAATGCCTGGCACACAGCTGGCATTTGATAAATAACCATTGAATGAGTGAGTGACTGAATAGACTTTCCACAATCTTTTTTGGCAGAAAACCATGTTCCTTTAACTCACTTAGTTTTCAAGGAACCTACAGTGTAATTTTAAATATAATAGCAACAATCTGAAAAATTCAGAATAAAAACTGGCGTGCAGTTATCACCTTGTTCTTTGCTTTACCTGACTGTCCTCACCCAGTATATTGCCTATGTAGAGTATTTACATTAGGCTTTGTTAGACTACAGCAGCGTGAAACCTGAGTGTGCACTGAGTGCCTTTGAAATCCAATCACCAGCAATTTGTATATTTGAAACTGCATCCAAACTACCCATTTGCTGACAATAGTTGGAAGAAAGCGTACTTCCTCCAGGTAGTGTCCAGCAGTCTTCAGGCCAGAAACCAAAGTTGTATGTTTCTGTTTCTTTCACTACTAGTGACTTTTTTGAATGTGGGAAATTGTGAGTAGCAAGATGTTTCCGGGAGAGACTTTGACACCAGGAACTGAAGCCAGGCATGGGGCCCCCAGGAGGCTTCTAATACTACTAGAAGTTCCTCTTCTGTGAAGGTTACTTATAGGTGGGGAACTCTTGTCACCTTTAGCTTATTCTGAAAAGGGTCTTGTAATTTCTCATGTGAGATTTCTTACTGAAAGTACTTCCTCCATAGTTATTAGTCCGAGGGGAGGGGCTGCAGGGATAGCACAGTATCAGGGTGTGTGACTAGCAAGCAACAAGAGTCTGGGTTCAGTTCTCAGCACTGCTGAGAATAGAAAAACAGAGAAGAGGCAGTGAATGTGTTCACTCAACTCAATGGGATTATTTCAAATTCTAGTTATCTTTTAAGTTGCAACAAAATATAAAACAGAAAGTAATGTCAAACATCCAGGAGGACTGCAATTCTCTTTGCTTCAGAAGTCATGAAGTACTCAATTTATCCTTAATCATTCAAAGTAAAAGGTCAGCCGGAAATGTATGGGAAAAAATCTTCCTGGGAACCTCTTTAGTGCAGGGTGATGTTTCTAAGATTTCATAAATGGGACTTTATGCTTGTGCCTGCCTCCTATTTCACAAGCTTACTATGTGTAAAAACCACTTGGAAAGCTTGTAGGCAGTGTAGATTTCTGGACACTTGCCTCAAAAATTGTGATTTAGGTGGGATGGGCACCTGCAGCCTCCGATCTATGTAAAAAGTCTTGAGATAGATTCGGTAAGAGCTAACAAGGTGTCCGTAGATCCTTATTCATGGGCTGTGGCTCTGCTCATTACTGAGTGACCACACAGCAGTCTTGTTTTACGCCATTTTTTATCCCACAAGACCAAAAAGAGTGATAAAGTTGGTGGAAGCCACTCAGCAAAAATGAAAAGTGGAGGCAGGTAAGTTCTTGAGGACAATCCACTATTGAATAAAATTAGTATTATTAATTTGTTATATGGCATTAAGCATATCAATATTAATAAATATCAATATTGATAACCCAGATATTAGATATATTACTTAGATCTTCCTCTTCTTTCTATTGGATGTTGATATTAATTTTTTTTTGCTTCGATTGAAACATTTCCATTACATAATAGTCTCTCATCTCATAAACTACCAACTGTGACATGTGAAGGGTGGTATCTCTATGAATATCAGTGAGTACCAGAACTTAATTTTGGTATGAATCTGTTTTTCTTCCTTTCATAATAATAATTCAAAGATTCTTATAATTCATTAGCTAAATCCACAAAAATCTGATCTTTTATTGCTAAATATTTTTAAATGGGTAAAATAAAATTTTTTTTCAATGTACAAAGAAATTACACATAAGCATGCATTTATATCGAAATAAAGAGTGAAATTAATGACCAAGTTAGTAAATGCAATACATGATAGGCATTTCTTGCCTAAAGCAGTATTTGAGGAGACTTGAAGGCTGAGAGCTTCCACGACTTTGAAAAGCATGGCGTGTAGTAAAATACATAATTACTGAGTTGGACTAAATTTACTAGTTAAAGAAATTAGATAAAACAGCATTGTTCTTTCAGCTGAAGCTCAAAATATGGCATGTTAGGAATAAAATAAGGAAAATCAAATTACTCTTAAATTCTTTCATTGCTAATACAAGTTTTAAAAGAAGTTCTTAATTTCAAAGTACTTACTTTGAAGAAATAGGCTGGGAGCAGAAAGTGGCTGTGGTGTGGAGAGAATCTTAGAAGTGAAAGCTCTGTGGAGTGAGTGGCCTTTATAAGGCAGTGTGCAGTACAACGACCAAGAATGCACCTCCTGCTTGACTAGGGCACCTCGGGGGAAGAAAGAACGTTCAGAGTTCACGTTTCTCGTCATAAGATTAACAATCTCTTGTCAAATGAGTCATATTCCTTTTCTGATACTGTGCTAAAAATACTCATATATCATATATCTTTTTAAGGAGAAAAGATCTGTTTCATTCATTATATAGTTTGATTGGTTTTACATGCCTCACAGAGTTTACGGATCTATACATTTTGTTTTCCTCTTTTAACAAATTGAGTAGCTACTATTTAGTGCAAATTTATTGCCGCTTTTTTTTTTTTTTTTTGTGGAGCTTGCAGAGTGTTAGGTTCAAGGCCCGTCCAGTCTGTTGAGGTCGCTTCATTTTCTTTCTCAAATACCCTTGCTTCGTTAAATAGTTTGAATCTAACATAGAGAGCATTTGGGAAAAAGTGAGTTACCTGGAATTCCTTACCTGATTAGATATTTCTAGTTTTCTTTTTGCTTCTTTGTATTGCTTTGTTACATAGAGTGAACACTTATGTGTTAAGCACAGCTCCAAATACTTTTTGCATGTATACATTTTTTAAATTCTTCCCACAATTCTGTAAGGTGGTACAATTATTATCCCCACTTGACTGACAAGGAAACTAAGGTATAGAAATGTTAAGTGGTTAGTAGGTGGCAACTGCAATCAGGCCAAATGAGACTGTAATCTTAGCTCTTGGGCCCATGCCACAAGCAGCTATGTTCTTACTATACAATCGAACACAGTAGTCTATACTAGTGAGAAGGGTTTCTCTCATTTCTGAGAGTACAGTTTATGGGAGGCCATTGTTCTGGACCAGCCTCCAGCACTAGGTTCCTATAGACAAGACCAAATGAGAATGCAGCTATTTGTGCTAAGGGCCACATAACCAAAGTGAACTTTGAAAGAGTCCAGTTTTCCCAAAAGGAGATTCTAGTCAAAATGACTCAAGAGTAATAAGAAAGACTCCTCTTTTGTTGTTTGGACATTAAGTGTCCTACAAAAGGCTCATGTGTTGAAGGCTTGGTCATCAATGCAATGTCCAGAGGAAGGGCATTGGGGAAGTGATTAGATCATGAAGACTTTGACCTAGTCCATGGATTAGTCCCTTAATTGATTCATAACTAGAATGCAGTATTGGGAGGTGGTAAAATCTAGGAGGTAGGGCTGGATGGAGGAAGTAGGTCATTCTGGGCCTGACTTTGAAAGGTGTACCTTGTTCCCAGCCCCTCTGCTCTCTCTGCTTCTGGGTTGTCTCTCTGTCACATGCAATGAAGCCAGATAACCATGACTGAAACCTCTGAAACCATGAGGCAAAATAAATCTTCCCTCTGTGATGTTAGGTTTTCTCAGGTTATTTGTCACAGCAATGGGAAATTAACACACCCTCTGGTTTTATTTTGATGTTGTTGTTTTTTTGAGATAGGGTCTTGCTATGTACCCCAGGCTAACCTCACTGGAGATCTTTTTGCCTCAACCTGCTGAGTGATGGGATTACAGTACAGGCATGTACCACCATGCCTGTCTATTCCCTCTGTTTTAACCCTACCATGAAAGTAATTTTGAAATGACCAGTGTGCT